GAAGTAGGAATAGTTTCCTCGCCTAAGTGGCATCATAGATCCTCGTGGTCATTACAGAAAGCCGACCCTAGATGGCAAATAATGCAATTGATGCAATTGAATTTCCCTAGAAATTAGAATCTAAAAGATGTGTCTCGCTGTCAATCATCAGTGATCAATATTTGCTGCTTTTGCTAAATTTTCTCATATATATTCTTGAGGGTGGGCCGATGTGGTTATTCGGAAACGATACAATACCAAGTAAGATACGGCGTCCGACGTTTTTCTTGGGTATCGATATCGACACTGTGACGTCTTTGAGTCAAATAAAAAGTCACGTGATTGACGGAATATTAGGTTTTCTTTCACTGTTAAAGTTCAACAGTGTTCAGAACTCTATAGAAGCGTCAATAAGGCAGTCAAAAATTTAAAATCGGATTAAGGACGTACTTAAGTCGAAACTCATGGTCGTGAGTGAGTTTACTCTTGCAGCGCTCACATGCCACTTAGACTGATACCGACTGCGGTGCTCTTTGCCCAATCTCGAGCTCAGAGACTTCTCGGCTCCTTAATCGTCAGCGGTTGAACGCTGGCGTGAGACAAAGCACGGGCACGTGCAATATCGAAAGCACCGGTATTTTTTCGCTAGTACATGTATCGATATTTTCCGATCTGACCCCGATATCGCTGGTATCGAATAGTTGGTATCGGTATCGGTCCATATTCTCATGTGTAGGGGACCTTTTGCGACTGCCCAAGCTACCGCTCCCAAGCTGAAGCTGTTTTTCAAGTTAGGTTGTCGCGAAATAAAATATAACACGCTTTCCCTGCCCTAGAAGTCAGCTTGCTACAGTGTAACTTGGTCAGTTTCATTTAAGGACTTTTTGTTTCTAACACGGTTTGCCACAAAATTTAACCTAAGTTTAAGCTCCTAAATGTTTTGTAAACCGCGGAAAACATACATCACCAATTCAAGAAAAAAAAAAAAACGTCAAGATGCTATTTAGAGAATATTCATCCTGTTATTAAGGCTCAGACTATGTCACCGAAAATAAAAATTCTGAATACTGACCTTCGTCAACGGTTGTTCCTTTTCTCGAACAACAAGTTAAGAAGTTAAATTTTACTCCGGAAGAAATCACAGAGTTTTTTCCACTTTTTCCAAAACAAGTGCTAGCGCCAGAGATAGAGCTTTCAATCAAAAAGACAAAACCGTTTTCGATAAAAATAGGGCTTTCGAACATAACTCTGAACCCGTAATAAGGAACTGGCCCTGATCTGATCAATTCAGAATTAACCTCGGCTGACTTTGATACACGCAATTTACCGCTGACCTCTTTCTTCACTTTTACAGTTACGAAATATTTGCTATTTTCACTCCCACAGAGGGTTACTCCACGCAAAGAAATGTTCTTGTCGACTGTGAATTTGAGACAGTCATCTTTTGAGCTAGTACGAACAATGCCTGCTCCACTTTCATCCATCGAACCAAATCTACTACAGTGATAAACGAGTCCCTTACGACCAGTTCTGTTGTTTACTGGAAATCCAAGTACAGTATCCAACAATGAATGTAAATATTTCATTATGCCAATGGTCTCGTCTTGCGTCAGTATCTTGCAGTCTAGAACAACGCCAACAAATTCTTGCGACGTCATCCCGGGATAACGTGTTCCTTTCACAATCCTGTCTCCTAAAATTCGTCTCTTTTCACTTCCGTCAGCGGAAAGGCCTTTTTCCTCGCACTTCTTCGTTGCCCAAAAATCCACAGCTTTAAACAAATCCACCTCTTTAACTTTTAAGGTGTCTCGTCTGACTACTGCTTCGACTAGTGATCTTTCAATTGCCGCAAATCCATCCGATTTTATTGCTGCTTCTGTCTCATCATCGATCACTTTCCAGCATTGTTCCACTAAGATCCTCTCTTCATATTTTTCAGCAGATGGCAGAATGTTGAATACGTTTGATGGATCTAAGTTCTTTTCCAAATAAGCCATGCACGTTTTAGCCAGTGAGGGCACCATGTATTTCTTTGCCAGATACAACACTCCCATCACATTACTTCCGCTCAAGTTGACTTCATCGCTGTATATGAAGCGAAACAACTCCAACAGACTCTCGTATTCACAGTCAGGCAATTCAATAGAGTCTTTAGATTCTGCCAACTCACCATAAAACATGGCTTCAAACACGGGACTGCTGATAGACAGCACGAACTTGTGAGCAGGAATCACTTGTTTAGTTTCACTTTCATGACCTTCACGAACTTGTGAGCAGGAATCACTTGTTTAGTTTCACTTTCATGACCTTCCATCTTGCAAACAACGAACTTCACATCGCTGAAGCGATCGTTGTTGAACATAAACTTGATTCTTTCCCTGATGGTTGGTCGCGTTGTTTGCCAAGGCTCTTGACTATCTTCGACAAAAGACATGGTTCTCGCGAATAAAATGTGAAGACTAAAAGTGATTGAGGTTCTTAACGGGTCAGTAACACGCAGCCTTTGAACGTTTGAGCAACGGAAGTTCTACAAATCTGTATATCACTTAACCGAAAGAAATCCGTGACCGTGAAGACGATCGCAAGGATTGAACCCTAGCACTGGGTGCTTGTACCGTTGCACTTATGTCCTCTTATTGTAGATAGTACGTACTCTGACGTAATGTGATACAATGGCCTATCATATCCTGTGATCTATAGAGCGACAAGCAGCTCGGACTGGTTAAGAGACTCCGTTGCAGTTATGTCTTCAAGCAAAAGTGATCATTCAAGGGGGTCGGGATAAGTAGAAAATTTGACTAGTATGAGCAACTTCCAACTGATCTCAGGAAAACATGCTATTCGCAATCATTGCGAACCGGATCATTGGCCTCTCACATTACTTTCCGTGAAGTTCTATCGTTCCTTCGTCGGCCGTGTAATCGCATCGTTCTTCTAACCTAAACGTGGAAGAGCAACTTACCATGTAAATAACAAAGCGACTTTCGACCAAAGGATGCTTTATTGTTCACGCTTTATTTGCAGTCTTGCTTTATTTACAGTGGTCATTGTTCGACTTGCGACTTCAATGACAGCATTTTTCCATATCACAATTGTTTTATTCTCTTTAATAGTTGAAGATCATTGATTATGGTTCGTCGGCGTAAAATTATATATTTTTTGACGCTTCGCTGATCTGCCGGAGGTGAGATCCACTGAGAGGTCAAAGTTGTGATAATTTGTCTGCGTCACAAAGTCTTCCTTCAATCACAGAAGTTTGACCTTCAGCTGTTTATTTTGAATATTGTAGATTTTTGCTGTATCGCAAAAATTTGAAGTAGTAGATTGTGAAAATTTGAAGTAGTAGATTGTGATGTGATTTTATTACGGTTCCGCTGATTTTAGCTGTTCTTTTTTTAGTTCTGTTTCTAAATTTTATTACGGTCCGCTGATTTAAGCTGTTCTTTTTTTAGTACTGTTTCTAAATCATTGTTGGATTTAGGTCAGTGGTTCGAATCCCGTACAGGCCTGAAATTTTTTTCAGGTCTGATTTTCACTATTGCTCAAATAGTGCTTTACTGCGAAGGATCGTTCACATATACGTCTCATAACCGCAGTTCATACATATGTTTCATATGTTTGTTGTTGTTTGATTTATCATCTACGGGTTTATGTCGAATTAATTTGATGGCCTGCTCCCAGTTGGCTTGTTAGCTCAATTGGTAGAGCGCTGCACTAGTATCGCAGAGGTCAGTGGTTCGAATCCCGTACAGGCCTGATTTTTTTTCAGGTCTGATTTTCGCTATTGCTTAAATAGCGCTATCTACTGCGAGGATCGTTCACATATACGTCTCATAACCGCAGTTCATACATATGTTTCATATGTTTGTTGTTGTTTGATTTATCATCTACGGGTTTATGTCGAATTAATTTGATGGCCTGCTCCCAGTTGGCTTGTTAGCTCAATTGGTAGAGCGCTGCACTAGTATCGCAGAGGTCAGTGGTTCGAATCCCGTACAGGCCTGAAATTTTTTTCAGGTCTGATTTTCACTATTGCTCAAATAGTGCTTTACTGCGAAGGATCGTTCACATATACGTCTCATAACCGCAGTTCATACATATGTTTCATATGTTTGTTGTTGTTTGATTTATCATCTACGGGTTTATGTCGAATTAATTTGATGGCCTGCTCCCAGTTGGCTTGTTAGCTCAATTGGTAGAGCGCTGCACTAGTATCGCAGAGGTCAGTGGTTCGAATCCCGTACAGGCCTGAAATTTTTTTCAGGTCTGATTTTCACTATTGCTCAAATAGTGCTTTACTGCGAAGGATCGTTCACATATACGTCTCATAACCGCAGTTCATACATATGTTTCATATGTTTGTTGTTGTTTGATTTATCATCTACGGGTTTATGTCGAATTAATTTGATGGCCTGCTCCCAGTTGGCTTGTTAGCTCAATTGGTAGAGCGCTGCACTAGTATCGCAGAGGTCAGTGGTTCGAATCCCGTACAGGCCTGAAATTTTTTTCAGGTCTGATTTTCACTATTGCTCAAATAGTGCTTTACTGCGAAGGATCGTTCACATATACGTCTCATAACCGCAGTTCATACATATGTTTCATATGTTTGTTGTTGTTTGATTTATCATCTACGGGTTTATGTCGAATTAATTTGATGGCCTGCTCCCAGTTGGCTTGTTAGCTCAATTGGTAGAGCGCTGCACTAGTATCGCAGAGGTCAGTGGTTCGAATCCCGTACAGGCCTGAAATTTTTTTCAGGTCTGATTTTCACTATTGCTCAAATAGTGCTTTACTGCGAAGGATCGTTCACATATACGTCTCATAACCGCAGTTCATACATATGTTTCATATGTTTGTTGTTGTTTGATTTATCATCTACGGGTTTATGTCGAATTAATTTGATGGCCTGCTCCCAGTTGGCTTGTTAGCTCAATTGGTAGAGCGCTGCACTAGTATCGCAGAGGTCAGTGGTTCGAATCCCGTACAGGCCTGATTTTTTTTCAGGTCTGATTTTCGCTATTGCTTAAATAGCGCTATCTACTGCGAGGATCGTGCATCATACGTAAAGGATGCTTTATTGTTCACGCTTTATTTGCAGTCTTGCTTTATTTACAGTGGTCATTGTTCGACTTGCGACTTTAATGACAGCATTTTTCCATATCACAATTGTTTTATTCTCTTTAATAGTTGAAGATCATTGATTATGGTTCGTCGGCATAAAATTATATATTTTTTGACGCTTCGCTGATCTGCCGGAGGTGAGATCCACAGAGAGGTCAAAGTTGTGATAATTTGTCAAAAAGTCTTCCTTCAATCACAGAAGTTTGACCTTCAGTTGTTTATTTTGAATATTGTAGATTTTTGCTGTATCGCAAAAATTTGAAGTAGTAGATTGTGATGTGATTTTATTACGGTTCCGCTGATTTTAGCTGTTCTCTTGTTAATTCTGTTTCTAAATTTTATTACGGTTCCGCTGATTTAAGCTGTTCTTTTTTTTAGTACTGTTTCTAAATCATTGTTGGATTTGTTGCACTTTTTGGGTGGATTTGTCATAATTTACCCCGCTTATGACAAATTCACACAATGATCAAATGAAAAGTCGGCTATGGCAAGTCAGTAGGATATATTCCACCTAAATGATGAATTTCACAGAATTTACCCCGTTTTTCTAGAATTCGCTGATCAAATGGAAAAACTGGGTAAAGATGGCATATGGGAATTTATCTCGTTTTTCTAGAATTCATTAAAAAATGGAAAATCGAGTTAAAGATTGGCTATGGCAACTTGGGATCTATTTAATTCGGAGGATGAACTCTTAGATTTTACCCCGTTTTAATTTTTGTCGAATTCACTGAAAAAAAAAATGGAAATTCGTGCATATGGAAACTTCGGGTATTATTCACTTGTAACATGAAGGCTTAGAATTTACCCGGTTTTTGTCGAATACGCTGATCAAAAGGGAAATCGGGGTAAAGATGGCATATGGGAACTTAGTGTGTCAGCTACTTGTGGGTGAATTCGCAGAATTAATGATCCCATCTCTCCCGAATTCATTGAAAAAAAAATGGAAAATCGGGTTGAAGACTAGCTAGATATAGCAACTTGGGATCTATTTCATTTGAGGATAAATTCTTAGATTTTACCCCGTTTTTCTAGAACTTGTTGAATAAAATGGGAATTCGGGGTAAAGATATCATATGGGAACTTCAGGTATTATCCACTTGTAGCATGAATTAATTGAAAAAAAAAATTGGAAAATCGGGTTGAAGACTAGATATTCTTAGGTTTCACCCACGTGACCAATAGCTTAGCAACGGTTACCATCCGCCATCTTGGTGTCCCTCGAGCGTAAACAAACCGTACCTAACGAAGAGTTCATGTGAGAAAGAAGGGATGGTTTTATGCATTGTTGTTGGCTGTTCGAGCAAAAGTGGAAAGCATAAAGGCTAAGAATTTTTTCGTATGATAATTTAATAATTTTATTATTTCTATAGCGCAACTTCATTAGATATATGATCTAAAGCGCTATACCTAAGATCATTACAAATCAAGGGGAAGAACAGGAGGAACTAGAAGTTGTTGTATGGTTCGAGGCTTGCGGCTGTTGTAGATCCTCGATTTTTTGGTCGAGCTTTTCTTTGAGCTTCTTAGCCGATGAGAAATCGATGTCTTTAGCCCTCGCATACGGCACTTCATTGACATATGTCGGCAAAATCCATGAGCATTTTACCTGAGTGCAAGCAAGCTTGGGGTGTCACGAAAACTCACACCCCNACTAGTATCGCAGAGGTCAGTGGTTCGAATCCCGTACAGGCCTGAAATTTTTTTCAGGTCTGATTTTCACTATTGCTCAAATAGTGCTTTACTGCGAAGGATCGTTCACATATACGTCTCATAACCGCAGTTCATACATATGTTTCATATGTTTGTTGTTGTTTGATTTATCATCTACGGGTTTATGTCGAATTAATTTGATGGCCTGCTCCCAGTTGGCTTGTTAGCTCAATTGGTAGAGCGCTGCACTAGTATCGCAGAGGTCAGTGGTTCGAATCCCGTACAGGCCTGAAATTTTTTTCAGGTCTGATTTTCACTATTGCTCAAATAGTGCTTTACTGCGAAGGATCGTTCACATATACGTCTCATAACCGCAGTTCATACATATGTTTCATATGTTTGTTGTTGTTTGATTTATCATCTACGGGTTTATGTCGAATTAATTTGATGGCCTGCTCCCAGTTGGCTTGTTAGCTCAATTGGTAGAGCGCTGCACTAGTATCGCAGAGGTCAGTGGTTCGAATACCGTACAGGCCTGAAATTTTTTTCAGGTCTGATTTTCACTATTGCTCAAATAGTGCTTTACTGCGAAGGATCGTTCACATATACATTGTTGGATTTGTTGCACTTTTTGGGTGGACTTGTCATAATTTACCCCGCTTATGACAAATTCACACAATGATCAAATGAAAAGCCGGGGTAAAGATAGCTATGGCAAGTCACTAGGATATATTCCACCTAAATGATGAATTTCACAGAATTACCCCGTTTTTCTTGAATTCGCTGATCAAATGGAAAAACTGGTTAAAGATGGCATATGGGAATTTATCCCGTTTTTCTAGAATTCATTAAAAAATGGAAAATCGAGTTAAAGATTGGCTATGGCAACTTGGGATCTATTTAATTCGGAGGATGAAATCTTAGATTTTACCCCGTTTTAATTTTTGTCGAATTCACTGAAAAATAAAAAAATTGATATTCGGGCATATGGAAACTTCGGGTATTATTCACTTGTAACATGAAGGCTTAGAATTTACCCCGTTTTTGTCGAATTCGCTGATCAAATGGGAAATCGGGGTAAAGATGGCATATGGGAACTTAGTGTGTCAGCTACTTATGGGTGAATTCGCAGAATTAATGATCCCATTTCTCCCGAATTCATTGAAAAAAAAAAAGATGGAAAGTCGGGTTGAAGACTAGCTAGATATAGCAACTTAGGATCTATTTCATTTGAGGATAAATTCTTAGATTTTACCCCGTTTTTCTAGTACTTGTTGAATAAAATGGGAATTCGGGGTAAAGATATCGTATGGGAACTTCAGGTATTATCCACTTGTAGCATGAATTAATTGAAAAAAAAATTGGAAAATCGGGTTGAAGACTAGATATTCTTAGGTTTTAACCACGTGACCAATAGCTTAGCAACGGTTACCATCCGCCATCTTGGTGTCCTTCGAGCGTAAACAAACCGTACCTAACGAAGAGTTCATGTGAGAAAGAAGGGATGGTTTTATGCATTGTTGTTGGCTGTTCGAGCAAAAGTGGAAAGCATAAAGGCTAAGAATTTTTTCGT